CCATTCAACAACGGGCGAAACCCCCTTTCGACTAACATACGGCACTGAAGCCGTCATCTCCGTAGAAATCTGGGAACCCTCTAGGAGGACAGAAATGCCCCTCGACAAAGAAATGAATGACGAAGCACTCTGGGACGAACTCGACTTGGTCGAGGAAATTCGATCGGGGGCAGCCCTGCGCGAGGACACTCTAAAACAACGAGTGGCCCTGCGTCACGACGAAAAGGTCATCAAACGCGAGTTCAAGATCAGCAGCCTGGTATTATGAAGAAATCGGAAAGACTCCCGCGAAGGGAAATTGGCCGCGAACTGGGAAAGGCCTTACCGCGTCCACAACGCCACAGGTACCGGGGCATACTACCTCGAGAAGCTAGACGGAGAACCATTGCCACGACCCTGGAACGCTGCTAAACTAAAGCAGTACTATAGTTAAATACCCTTAAACACTAAAGACTCTCGTCGTCGAACATCCACATCTAGTCAACAGAGAGAAATGTCTCGACCACGTAGATAGGCCAAGGTACGAGCCCAATCTATGCCCAAACGACATAACGTCGTTCAGCCAAATGAGGACGAACGATGATGCCCGACAGGGACACCTCAATCGAGCTCCACTGTCGAAGTACCCACATGGCAGAACACCCAGCTCGCGATGGGCAGTTCACGCCACGAGCATAAGACCTCGATCTGGGTCATACGCCCGATCAAGCGAGCTTCACTCCGCACGACCGACGCATTTCGAAGTACGTCGGACCACCAAATGGGTCGAAAGGATCTCCACTCGAGGACATAGCTTAGGAAAAATTTCGCCACAAAGTAACAGCCGAACACAAGCGTGGCTCGAGGACATAACTTAGACAAATTTCGTCACAATATAAAAACTTAGACACGAGCAAGTTTAAAAGTCAAAATGAACATCCATTTAAAAGCTCATAAGCAAAAATGAATAAAAATAAACCGACCAAAAAGGCCGGCGATGTTTGGAAATTACAGGCTATGGCACAACGGCCAAAAGAAATATGTACGGGCATGCAGGCCCAAAAATATGCACGGGCACGCAGGCCCCAAAACAAATACCAATAAACGGGCGCGCTGGCCCGACCATAAATTCCACGACTAGACTTCCCCGGGACTACCAGCATCCACAGCAGGAGACTCAGGAGGAGGCACGACCTGGTCGTCAATGATCTGAGACATGAAACCCACTCCCTCGGTATTCATGCCCGGATTCAATATGGCGAGCTGGCTAACCGCGGCCTCAAACTCGTCCGCTAAGGCACCGGCACAGTCTGTTTCAAGGAGATGGATACGCGCGACCAGATTGGAACGGCTCCGCAAAGGGGTTGTATCCTCCGACTCATCTTCAGCAGGAAGCATCGCAGCTTTCAGCTCCTCGACTTCCTTAGACAGACGCTCGTTGTCGGCCTCCAAGTGTTCCCTATCCAGCCGAAAACAATCCCTCTCCTCAGCAACCTTCCTGAAATTTTCCTTCTCCACGGCCAGCAGCTCGGCTTGTTCGCGGAACATCTCCTCATATCGCTCGAGAGCAGCCTTCAACTTACGAGAGCTGGCAGCGAGGACAGCTTTCTCCGACTCCAGTTCCCTGACGCGATCAAAGGAGTCCGACCCCTCCTCAGCAAGGACAACGGCCATCTCGGCCATCTTCACCATCCCGACCATACTGGCGGCCAGGTGTTTTCTTCGACTTTCTTTGTTGAGCCACCTGATGGACTCATCCTCCTCGGTGCTCACTGTCAAGGGAAACCCCTCGAAGAAATCTTCCTCTTTAAAATAGGGGGTAATTCGAAGGCCCTCGCGGCGACAGACTCGTCTCCAACTTCCGACCGGTTATCTGCCCGACTTCTCTTTCTCGTGATCAGCTCAGTGGGCTGCTCGACGTCAGGAGAGTCCGGGGACCCGCTAGAAGCATCTCCTGAACTGGTCGGCAGGCCCATCCTCGTGGCCTGCAAGCTCGCACCAGCCTTCTGTTTACTCTCTTGTCCTGAGTCAGTTTTAAAAGCCTCTCCCTTTGTTCAGCCATGTCGCCTGCAAAGAAGAAAACTCGGGTTAGTTGCGAGCAAGTAACAAACAAAGAAATTGGAATAAAACTATAAGACAAAAGCAACCTAGTAGATCTACGGCCTTCCCGTAGGATTGGCACTCGACGAGCGCCTTGGTATCGATAGGACGGGCCTCGAATGTCGGGTAACCTTCCTCGTCAAGAATATCTTCCCCCTCCCTCGTGACCCACCGGGCAGGGAAGAAGCTGTCGACATACTTGCAAAGGGTACCATAGGCTTTCTCATCCTCGACACTCATTCCTCCCGCGGGCGTATGGTAGTGCCCGGTACCATCCTCGTAATGGCGCGAGCACCAATGCAATGGGAACTTGGATACACGCCCCACCGTCGGACGACCCTCAGCATCCATAAGGGGCTCCCCGTTCTCGTCGACCACCGTGGTTTCCTCTTCATACATAGAATCCAAAGCAGTCTGGGTGACCGGCTGTAGAACGTATCACTTGTCCTTGAAGCCCCGGACCGACTCCATGTACATCCTGAACAGCCTCTTCGACTACTTCAGGGAAACCCAGCTATGCCTGCCTCCTCGAGACTGACGCTGCAGGTGAAAAACTCTGAAGAAAAGAGGAATGGTCGCCCCGATCCTCAAGAAGCGGCATGTCAGCTCGAACGCCCGAAGGAAGGCAGTCGAATTAGGATGAAGCTGCGAGGGGGGCAAGTCCAGATGGCAGAACACCCCGGCTTGGAAATCACTAAAAGGGAGCTTAAGGATGAGATCCCTGAACACGATCTCATACATTGGAAACCCATACTCGGTGAACTTCGAGCAGATTCGTGCATCGAGGGACGGCCTCGTCACAATAAAATTCTTCTGGAAACCCGACTGACTACCGCCGTGTTCGACGACAGTGTATGCGCTCCGACTACACCGTCAATATGCCGAGGCAATCCCTCGGGGCTTGGCGCTCACCCAATCCAACGAAGGATCATCGACGGTATCAACTAGAGTCACATTCTCTTCGGCACTTTGGTCCTCGACCTTATTACGTCTCGAAGACTCCGATTCGTCAGCCATTTACCTGCAAAGCACAGGAAACCAGTGAAATTCAAGAACAAGTCCGCATGCTCGCCACAGTGACGGGAAGTAGTGCGCGACAAGTAAGACACGCTCGACCAGACGTCGAGAACAACAAGAGAATAGCATGAACACCCCGCGCGATAAACATGGATGACTCGAACAAGATCCTGGTTTCGCCTCCCCGACGCTAAGATGCTACGACGAGTTGTCCTACATACTTCCTAAGGGGTCAACGTCCCGGCCAACTCATGGATGCGCCGACCTAGACTATGAATGTGATGGGAAATATCATAAATCCTATGCCTATAACTATGGGTTTACCGGGCAGTATCATAGATTATGTGCCTAAAACCATGAAGGTCACGGGCAGCATTACGAGTCACCTACCTAAAACTATGTGTTTACCGGGCACAAACATGAATATACCGGGCACTAATCCCAGAATGGGTTTCTAACATCCACATAACGGTAAAACTACCTACAACAAAGAAAAATAGGAGGAATAAACACTTACTTGGAAGCAAAGAAGAATGTACGGCAGCGATGAAGAAAGTCAACGAAGGAAGATGCGGTAATCTTGTGATGTTGGGGAAAAACAGCGGCGGCGAAAGCAGAGGAAGAAGGAGAAGCGCAAAGAAGAAAAACAAATTATGGGACCCAAGGATCCATATTTATAGGGATGACGTGGAATACGAAACGTCACCTCGGGGAGCCACGAACTTCCCCTCCTCGACACCTACTCCCCTAGGCAATGATGGCCCTACTATCGCTAGGGTGGCGTCACGGTTCCCAAGGATTGCCTCGTGTACCCAACAAACATAGCCCGCGAGAAATCCCCGAGCACGCGTCGACGAGGATTACACTACGAACACAACCCGTAAGAAACTCCTCGAACGCGCACGAGGAAGCAATATCCTGGGTCTGGCATTAGACCCCGTGGCAAAGGCGAGCTGAAGTCAACTCATAACTCCTGCTCCAGGGGCCACGACTTAGGGGGCTTCTGTTCTGGACTGGGCCCGCCCTGGCCCAAAAGCAGGGACTAAGGCCCAACCCAAGCAGCTCCTCGAGGAATGCGCGCCCACGGATTCCCGCCGGTGTGCCCGACCACAGACTGTAGCCATGCCCGCCATTACCCGCGACACATGGTGTCCCCGACCAAGGGAACGCCAGTTCGAGCCCTGCTCAAGCACTCTCCTCGTAGGGCAGATTATGTCCTCTCTGACCGTTATCGAATCATCTAAACTCCGGAAAGACCGCGTCTTCGTCCCTCCTCATTTCTCGTAGAGCATCACCAGGAAAGGGACCACGTGCGGGTCCCCACTACATACATAGAACCTAGCAGTTCCTTTATTGGGCTAGTTCTGGTCGGCCCAATGAGGGGACCTTGGCCCAGCGCTGGGGGCTATAAATACCCTCTGTTCCTAAAGGGTCAGGTATTCATCTCTTACGCATACATACACTTTTTGCCTGCTCATTCCGTCACTCATTTTAGCATCGGAGTGCCTTGCAGGTACCCCCCCCCCCCCCCTATCTCACTCAAATTCCGCCCGAGCCAGTCGTGACGGTCCAAGTCTGATCAGATATATATATATATATATATATATATATATATATATATATATATATATATATATATATATATATATATATATATATATATATATATATATATATATATATATATTCTTCCATTAGAAAGTACTCCGCACACATTACATAAAAAAAAGTGGTCGACATGGCTACTTTAACAACGAGACAATCTCCCCATCTTTGAGCATTTAGTCTGGAAAAACCCGATCCCTCGAGATAATTAGAGGATTGTGAAAGTGTTCCACTTATTGAAAGGCTTTCTCAACTTACTGCAAAATCATCCTAAGGTTGGCGCTTGTATAATCGGCCAGTTATTGAGTCATGGAATCATTCTCAGGGCGCGGAGACTCTAATTCCTTATGGGCCGCTGAAAGAAATGCTTTAGAATATGATACACTTCCCTGGGCAGAAGTTATAGTATGGTTCTTCATCACCACGGTCCTCACTAGATGGTTCACTTGCTCTGTCAAAGAAGTATGAAGATTAAGTGGGAGCAAAGCATCCCTTATCCCATTAAGAGAGGTGGAAGCTCTTTGTATTTCATGTAGGTACATGTTCTGTTGGAGCATCAAATGAACACTTTCCTCTAGTCGATGTTTCTCCTCCCGGTGTTGGTCAGGCCAGTAAGCGTCCCAATGACCGGCTCCACCAAGTGCTAAATCAACAAAAGTGCACCAAGTATACCGAGCCAGAGTCTCCAATTCTTCCTTCAAGGCATGCTCGAATAGATTATCCAGATACGAGTAATCCTCCTCTGAAGGGGGGAACCGAAGGTAACTAGAGTAATGTGAGTATGACCCCATCAACAATGGACGGGCTGGAAGACCTGATGCATTCTTAGCCTCAGAAGAGTATTCAAAGCAGAAGCACTCATAGGGGCCTTAAAGCAGCAGAAGAACCTGCTTCAGTTTGTGCCAGCCATTTCCCTGCCTTAAAAGTCGTAGCTTTACCTCATACGTTATTGAATCTACACTACATCAATAACTAGAAAAAAATATTTGTTAACAGAGCAAGCACATCGTGAACAAACAAATTGAAAGCAAAGAAACCAAGAGCTTTCAGAGCATACCTAAAATAATTTTCCTCTCTTCCCGGGAACAGGCCCCCACCAGTAAGAGAGTGTCAATAAGGTGTTTCAAGCACTTCAGGTCGACTTCCTCATGGGGAATGTCGCTACCAAGATAACCCATGTCTTTTACAAGACTCATCAACCGCATCTTCTAGTACAAGTCCTCTTTAGAAAGATCTTATTCTTTGTATATGTAAGTCCCATTTTTCATAAAGAAGTGGCGCACAGAGCAATATTCGGGGGGAAACGCAACACATTTGTCCTCCACTCTTTTCCCAACTACGCAGATCGCGACATGATCTTCTGGATCGATGGAATAACCAGAAAGAATTGATCTTCAAAATGCTTCATGTCCTTCGAGAAAACACTGAATCTCCGGAATGTAGGTTTTCGAGGCTGAGACAACAAACATCAGATTTGTTGGGCATATGCACGAGCTTGGGGGCAACTGTTATGGGCCGACCATAGCATCCTCGAACAACCACTCTAGAGCTTTTGTAATTCTTCTAGAACCTTCTCAGTGCACGAGGACTATCTTACAGATAATCACAAAGGATCTAAACTTCAGATGCATCCAACGACTCCCGATAATCCATGCATAAAAATAGAAAGTTTGTTATTCCCTTTCTAATATATATATATATATATATATATATATATATATATATATATATATATATATATATATATATATATATATATATATATATATATATATATATATATATATATATATATATATATATATATATATATATATATATAAAGAAGGCGTCAAATTTAGGTACTTAGTTTCAAATTCAATTTCAATTTACTCTTCTCTCTCACATACTGACTTGAGTGTTGAAGTGTTAATCTAGCAGGTTACCCCCCTCTGCGCCGCACCAAAAACTTTGATTCGTTGTTACCGCTGATCCTTACTCCATTTTTGGTTTCGAGAGGGAACGCTAATAATAAATATTAGTAAAAATAAAAATATAATAAGACTATTATATTCTATATTTTGAGTTGGTTAATCAATTAAAAGATTTCCTATAAAAATGATACTTCTTAAAGTAAATACGGGTCCTTATGTCAATTGCAAAATATTTAATTGTTTTCAACACTTTCTAAATAAAAATGGGAGGTCATTGGATTAAATAAATAGATCGAAGGTGAGTCAATATATTAATCCGAATGAAAAAATTATGAGTAAAACCAAAATATAATTAAAAAAACAAGAGCTATAACGAAAGTCTATGAAAAATACAATATGTATTTTTATATAAAATAAATATTAAATAAAATGATTAACAAATTTGAGTACTAATGCTACAACCAACTCATAAATAATTTAAGTTTTCATAAAAGTCCGACTCAATAATAAAGTACCATGTATTTTACCTTCTATTTTTAATTGTCTCACAATCTCTTCAACATCTTGTCTTTTAGTTGTAACTTGATCATCACTAAGTGTAATAGAAACAAGTCCGACGAACAAGTTAAAAGCGATAATAGAAGCAGCAAAAGTTAATAGATTTATGATAAATTTGTTTCTACCCTCATAGTTTTTTGTGATTATATATAATTGTTGGTCTTATCTTACCTTTTAAACCTTTCTTTTTCTTTGATTTTATTTTTTAGTTATTTTATATTCAATTCACAGTTACAATAAATGGTAGGGCTCCATGGACCTCGCTTAGAGCTATAGACTTGACTCAGTAAATAAATTTTTACATTTAAAAAAATTCAAACTTAAGACTTTGAAAAAATACACTCAAAATCCAAATATTCACATTAGACCAACTTCTTCAGATTGATTGCAATATAATTTATACTATACCAATCAATAACATACAATTTTATTCGTCAATCGCATAAAAAAAGAATGACACGCAGTAATGTTTTATGCGTTAACAATTTACGTTCGCACAAAAAAGTGTGACACATTAGGCATTCTCATGTGTTTGTTGAAAGTGCCAACTACATGTATCGAAAAACTGTGTGATAATGTGCTATGATAAAAAATTTCCGCAATGCATATTAATTTATGTTCATTCTTACCCTATGAACGGAAGGAATCAATTAACATGGTAAAAAATAAACAAATTTATTTGTCTTACGTATAAATAAGAACCAAGATCGTGTATTCGTTCTAGTAATAATCATACTTTACAATATGAAACTGAAAAACCAAAAATAAAGTGCTAAAATCAGCCAAAACAAGTTGTTTCCAAAATTTATCTACCACACATGCCACCTGAAAACATTCCACCGGAGAACATTTCACTTGAGATACTAGAAATTTCACTGGAGAATATTCCACGGAAGATAATCTTTTCCTTATTATATACTTTTGAATTGGGTCTCTATTTGGTCCAATTTTATACGAGATTCAATCCAACTATGCTGCTCGAGGAGGCTTGTTAACCGAGTTTGTCCTTAACTACGTCGAGCAGCAACCTCACTCTTCGGTAAAATGCGACTTTGTCGTACGGGGTTAAGTCTAGGAGTCACGAGGAGGATCGTCGCCGGTCAGGAGGACCTCGCGAGCATCCTCTACTCTTCTCGTCGACCAAGATAAGTCCTCCCAGACGATTTCACAGCTGGCAGGGAAGTCCCACGATGACGGAAGGACATCGCAAACATCCCCTTCATAGAGTTGACTCACCATACCCCCCGAATATCACGGAGTCCTCTTGGTCCAGAAAAGACCGCATCCATATCCTCCTGACTATTCGGGGGAGTCCATCCGGGTTGAGGACCACGTGTTGGCCCCACTACAGACGTAGGACTTGATCGTTGGGGCTATAAATACCCTCTCACTTGAGAAGGTCAGGTATTCATTCTTTCATACTCACTCTCATACTTTCTCGCACTACTTTGAACCTTATTTTGGCACCGGATTATCTTGCAAGTACCCCCCTTCCCCCAACTCGTTTCCAGTTGCTGCTCAACTCACAGCTCGTAGGCTTTGACAATCCATTCTGGTCAGGTACGACCGGTGGTGCCGTCTGTGGGAAACAAGCTTCCCCGTCTTTCATTAACCCAAGATTAAAGCAATTCTTCAAACTCTTTTGATTGTCATGACTGACCCAGCTGTCAATAACAACCTAGACGCCCATCTCGCCGACCCCAACAACAATGTCGTCGACAACATGGGCAACAACAACAACGGGAACGACGTCGACATGGTCGGTCTCGTGCAGAATTACAGAGACGGAATTACCGCCTCTTCATCATCACGCTCTCGGCCACACGAGAGTGCCCATCCGCCCCAGAACTATGAGCCGAATGTTTTCCAGGAGGTCCTCGTCCCTGCAGACGCTGATGCCACGACCAGGGCTCTGTTCGCGGACATTAACAAGAAAAATTATTTAATCTTCTCGCAAGGTGAGCGACTAGGGGTGCTCGACGACTCGTCGAGCCCCCAGAAGTCCTGACACTCCACCTCCTCGTTAGAACAAAAACCGTCTTCAATCTCCTCCGCAGAGACACAAACGGGGCAGATCGCGAATCCCCTCTCTCCGACGAACTGGGCGACGCCCCGTGTTGGAGAGAATAATGCCCAAGGCTACTGGGAGACGCAGCTTCAGCCCTCCGTGTAGGGAACAACGATCCCCTGAAAACAGAAACAAGGGCAACATAGAAGCGCATCCTCGACCAAGTGATCCTCCCCGAGGCCAAGGACATCACTACGAAGACCACTACAATTGGTCTCCTTCCCACTCCCCCTACAGGAGCGACGACCCCCGCAGTCCCTTATCATAAGCAATCATGGATGCGCCCATTCCTAGGGGAATGGAGAAGCCTTCCCAACTGAAGGAATATGACGGAATTGCTGACTCTGTCGACCATATCGACGGGTTCGAGGCAATGCTCCATTATCACAACATCGGGAGACTGATCAAATGCCAGTTGTTCCCCATGACCTTGAGGAAAATTGCAATGGACTGGTATAAAAATCTCCCCCCAGGTTCGATCACCTCCTGGAGAAACCTAAAGAGCCAGTTCATCAGCTCCTTTACAGCGTCTCGTCGACACCTGAAGACTGAGGTTGTCCTTGAGGGTATCGTCCAAAGAAGCGACGAGACCCTCATAGAGTACATCGATTAGTTCAACTGCGAGGCTATGCAGGTCCCATGCACTGATCACATGAAGAGATATTTGCTCGAGAGAGGACTCCTCCCAGGCACAGAGTTCAGGAAGGCTGTCGGCATCGAACCACCACGGACTTTCGATGCTCTCTTCGAAAAGGTTAGGGCCTATATGGACTATGAGGATAGGGAAGCAGTCAACAAAGCCCCGACCCGAGGAATCGCGGATCGACCAACACCCTGCGACACCAGGATGCAGACCCTTCTCGATGAACAGGAGAGAAGAGAAGGGATGATAAACCGCAGGATCTCCGCGAGCACAGGGAACCCGCAAGGCGATTCACCGAATACACTCCGCTGACAGCTCCCTATGAGTGCATCTTGGCAGAGTGTGTTAATACCAACTTCAAGGACGGTGGCGTCAAACATCCTCGATCTGCTCCTGTGAAGTCTGAGGCTGACAAGAGCAAATACTGTCAGTACCATCGAACTCACGAGCACCTGACTGAATATTGTATCCATCTCAAAGACGCCATCGAAACCCTTATCAAGGGTGGCAGACTCGGGAAATATCTATGGAATGACGCCCCTTGTCGAGATGCCCGTGAGACAAAAGAGATCGAGGAGGACACCCGACCATCGGATGAGACGGGCCCCATCCAGATAGCTTTCTCTGTTACAAGGCCGGAGGACTTCTACGTCCCCGACAGATACGAGGAAGAACCTATGTCCATGCACAGTGGGTGGGAGAAATTCCCCTCCTCCATGGTTATGATTGGTGGGTGGGGGGGTTAACGACATCTCCATAAACTCTACAAAAAGAAATCTCAACGAGCTGGTCGACACAGCCCTGACTCAAGCGGTGACATTCGAGAAGGTCAAGGGTAGATCATAACCAATCACGTTCTACCTTGAAGAGTTGCCTGGAGGGGCCCCTAACTCGAGCATCCCTCTGCTGGTGAGGCAAGAATGGCCAATTTCAATGTTCACCGCATCTTGGTTGATGGGGGGAGTTTCGTCGATGTTATGTATAACCATCTGTTTTGAACCTTACAACTCAACGACACCCACC